TTATATTTCTTATACAAGTTTTTCGCTGTGTAAACCGGGCTAATTTTTTTCTGCATTTGTCTAATGCCTATATGACACCGTTCCTCGTGGACTTCTTTCATGATCTTCCTACTGAAATCTTCTGACAAAACTATTTTTTCTTATTTTCTTACTTTTTTATAGAATATTCCATCTTTTTATATTACGTCTGGTCTCTAGTTTTTTATTACCCGATTTTTCTCTCTATCTCTTTTTATATCATCTATTTTTATTAAATTTATTATTCTCGACAGTTCCTCTTTGTTCTCTTTTGCTTCCAACACTGGGTTTCTGCTCCAGACAGTCTGCTTCCAAATTCTTTTTTCCTGGTAAATATATGTTATCTTGAAATCATATTGCGATAAATAATAGGTTAGATTGTGACCGGATCAACGATTGACGCTGTTAAAATTGAATGATATAGCCACTTACTACTTGGGCTGTAATTACGGTCGCCACTGTATTTTCTGGATAAATACAGAAACCCTGACGCAATGCGTTGCCCCTTCCTTCCTTCCAGCGTAACGGCTGCCGCTGTTCTACGTCGCGGACGTGTTCAAGGCCGTCGGCCACGCCCTGGTAATACGCACGTAAAGCACGGATATTCGGACAGGATGTTGACCGGGGTCGCGAATAAACACTCTTTGTTTATTATAAACAAATAACAATTTAATAATTCTCTGGTTTACAGCATGTGCTACGATCGCGGACACGTTCTCAACGGTACCGACGATATTGAGCTTGTATCGACTCTCTGGGTCGTTCGCGTGTCGCACAATTAACTCCCGTTATCGCGCTAACACGAATAAATTGTAATAATCACGCTAATGTCGCTAGCGGACAACGGGATAAGTCGATCGGGTTCGAATGATTTACGCGGAACCGAAGTACGAGTTGCCGCTTCGAGTGCCAACGATGGACTGTCCGGGAGGAACGGGTCTCGCTCTCCCACTATGGCTGCTCGCGCCGGCGCAACGCCGCTCATTTCGGCGCGAGTCTCGTGCATTTCGCGCGTCTCCTCGCCCTCGGCCAATCGCGTCGCTGTATTACGGGCGACACGATCCTTCGAGTGTCGTTGACCAATTGGCCACTAACTGAGCCGGTTTACTGGCTCAGCTCAATCACGATGCTGAATCCCGATTGGACGGCGGACATGGGCTCTCGCTGCGGTTTTCGCATTGCGTCAACCAATGCCAGCCGTCGCAACAGCACAAAGTGCGTGTTCGCGGGCTAGTCACTCGGAACGGTTCCGAGTGACCAATCATAGGTCGTTTTGACGATCCAACGCTACGCAGGTAAGTATCACGTACTAGAATCAATACTTTGATTAATTCTCCTTTTCTTTCAGGTACCGGACTTCGTGGGATCGTCTCGCCCAATCATTGGACGGGAAATCGTCATCGGTAAGTATTCCGACGGTAAGTATATAAGATGCGTATTGCATACAATAAAATAATAAAATAATAATAATTCTTAACAGTTTCGACAGGGAAAACATAAAAGTCATCGTAATAGAACGTTTAAACGCGTTACAATGCGAATCTCGCTACTTCGAGCCGTGCTCGTCTCTCATTGGTCGGATCGCCGCGTTTGTTTGGCAGAGTCGCTCAGTGCGCTCCGATAGGCTGAAGGCTTTAGAAAACTTCGAAATGAATTAAATAACGTGAAATTGGCCAGGATTCGCTCCTATTGGCTCTCGTCGACAACAAGGTCTGTGAATAAGGTAAATTAAAGTAAAACTCGACGAATCGATATAAAACTATCAGGGCTTCGCCCCATTCGCTGTCGCTACTTGACATTGTGTCAAAACTGCAATTAACTTGTGAAACATGCATAATTAAAACTGAAGTATATAGAACGGACGCTATTGGTTCTCGGACGCAATACACGCTTAATCTGACGTGATTGGTTCATCGCTCGTCGGGAATCAATCTAGGATCGATCTCGAGGCTTAACAATAAGATGTATAAGGTATATAGAGTGAATATCATGCTAACTGTATGAATTTCTGGAAAACTGATAATCAAAGGTAAGAATATGATCAGAGTGACCACTAGGTACTTCTTAAGCCGCATCTCGCTGACTCTACTGACTCTACGTTAGATAATATGGTTGGTGTGCTCCCGTTGAATGCGAATAAGCTAAAAGTAATATGCATACGATAGAAATCGCAAAAAGTATGAAAATGAATGCAAGAACTAATATTCTGAATTTATCAGAGTCCATGGCCTGTGATTGGCTCTCGCGATGGCTCTGTCTTTTGCTTCTAATGATAATTCACTCGAGGATACGTGGGATTGGTTGAAAGAGTTTTCAGGTGTTTGCTTTTGCTTATCTTGTGTAAAATATATTATATTCAATCACCGACGCTCCTAATTAGTCGTTACATGCGTTATCGCGAAAATAAGTGTAAAATTAATATAAAATAAGACCTCTTGGGTCAGTCGTCGCGCAATTCGCGTAAACCTCTCTAAATAGTTCAATCTCGACAAATAAAATAAAAACTTCGTTCTTGGACGTACTAGACTTTAAAATCGTGAACAAAATAATAAAAACTCAAAAAACTGTCTACACACGTGGTGTATCGACTGCGGCCTCCCTAATTGGCCGTTTAATCCAAAAATGGACGGTGTCGCGCAATCGGGTCGGGATCTCTCCTACGGGGCTGTCGCCGCACCCGCCGCTATCTCCGGCGCCTCCGTTTGGTCGGGCTGCTCGTCGATGCTCTCCTCGTCCCTAGATTGGCTCGGCTGTATGTCCAGCGGTCCAGCGGGCTGTTCCCCGCACTGTGCCACAATCTCTTCCTCGATGGCCTCCGGTATTGTCTGGAACAGGTCCAATTGCTGTCGTTATTAGCCATGAACAATTGTACCTCGGCCTCGGTCAACCCCATTAATTGGTCGACCTCCTCGTTTGGTCGTACGGCGCTCGGATTCCTCGGGATCACCTCCGTCTGGTCCATCGGCTCGCACGGTGTCTGTTGGCGTGAAGGATCCGACCTTGGAACGGTGACTTCAGCCACCTGTTCCAAGGGTTGGGTACGTCCCTTCAGAACGCCCTTTAAGGCTCCTTGGGGTATATAAAGTAAAATTCTTTATCTTTTTATTCTTTAGTATTATTTGCTAATCGATTTTTTTTCTTAGTTTTTACATTTGTAACTATGGAAAAAACGCGTTCGGCTTCGGCATTTGAATGGGGAAAAAAAAGAACTGAATGAACTAATAATTCTAAATTTGGAAACATTTTTCCCCTGCTAATATCTTCAAATTCAAATATTTGTCTCCACATATCTAATTTCTAAAAGTTCCAACTGAGCTTTCTGAACATTATAAATAGAAGGTAGATTTTTCCATTCAAAATTTAATTTTTCAATATCAATACATCCTATACGCGTTGCAAGTAAAGTCAAATTTATAATTTTTGTTCTATCTTCATAGTAAAGTGCAATTTTTGGCTGTAAAAACATTAATTGTTCAAAAATAACATTATATGGTAAACGTTTCAACATTTCGCGAAGTGAAGTTTCATAAAAATTTAAACAATCTCTTTTAATTCCTTGCGCGCATTCTAAAGGTAATGTCTGTAAAAGGCTTTCGCATTCAGGTCCTACATATATATTATTGACATCTTTTATGTGATTATCTAAAATAATATTATTTATATCTTTTAACGCCTGTGGTACAAAAAAATTTTTACCGATATCAATAATTAGTTGTCGACTACTTTCAAATATTTTATGAATTAAAATGTCGCGAGATTGGAAAAAGGCATTAAAATTATTTAAAAAATTTAATACGTATTTTAAAAATAATAAATATGCTTAATCGTATAGTCATTTAAGGAGGTTCTACAGGTACTCTCTAGTCAGTTGAGAGATGAAGAGAAAATCTTCAAATTCATCGATTCTAAGTATTCATAAAATATTTTTGTGAATTTTGATGACGTTAGAGCTTATATCATACCCATATTAGTCAAAGCGAGGAATAATTAAAAATATCGTGTAAAGGTGGAAGCACATAAAATTACAGGAGCCATAGGCAGAATGCAGAAGCCATAGCGCATGCGCTGTGGTATTACTTTATCTGCCTATAGCAGAATGGCAGATATCATAGCGCATGCGCTATGGTTTCTGTATTCTACCCATGGCTTCTGGATTTTCAATCTACATAAAAATACATAATGCATAGCCACGGGCATAAGCACATACATTCTCCTTGTAGTCGGTCCTTCTAGAAAAGTGATCAAGAACAAAGAACGGATTTATATTGATTAACACGTAAGTATTCTCATTATTTAAGTATCAACGTAATGAAATTACAAACTGACAGTGACCGTATATAATTATTAGTGTGAATTGTCTCAGTTTCGTAAACATAGTGTTTTGAGGTTAATTTGATTTTGTGTGCCGAAGTATCCAAATTGCTTTCTACTTTGAAGGCTCAGAGCTCCGCGACTAACAAGACGCAAGCAAACTCGAATCAAAACGCGTCGAAGGCTAAATCGGCGCAGAATCCGAAGACGGATAGCGAGCGTCGTCGAGTCCGAGGCGATCACCAGAAATTGTAATTTATTGCAAAATAAACGCATCTTCTCATAATTTTCGGTAAGTTTTATATACAGTTTAGGTGTAAAAATTTATTATTAAAACATTCTCTTGATTTCTCGTTATCAAGGAAGAGTTCCAGCCTGCGACATCCGTGTCCAACGTACCCCAGCCGGCCACTATTTTGGACAAATTAGGTGACCTGAGCAAAATTGATATCAGTGCC